ACTGGAATTTTGGCCCCAGGTGGGGTAACTGGCGTTTCCTCCGTACGCGCTCCTGACGGCGCGTGTGCCCCAAACGGTGGGAAACCAAACACTGGGGATGGTGGCCTAGGGTTGGGAATCGGCAGAGGGCGCTTGTCCGACCACGTTGCCTTAAAATCCTTGTTCAGATTCTTTTTGCAATCCTTCCTTCTCGGCCATCAGAGACAGATCGGAGCTAGGTGCAAAGCTCTTAATTCCTTCAAGAACTCCCCATAGACGGCGCCAAAATGATGAGTCTCTTCTCAGATCTGGAGTGAACCAATGGAAACAAGCTCAGATCTGGAACTGCCGATGGGAATGAGCTCAGATCTTCCTTTGGCCGCCTTCGAACCGTCGCCGAACCGTAAGAATACCTGCAAGAACTCAACGCCGGAGGGGTTTCCAGCGTAGAGCCTCCGACGCTTAAGTCAGTATGTGAGAGAGATGAAGAGAGCTGCTCTGAGAGAGCAGCAATCGAGGAAAGTAGAGAATGAATGGAAGTTAGAGTTTGGGAGCTACCTCAGCCTCTTTATATAGAAGCAGAACATTTACCTGAAGTCCCCAAAATACCCTGGCCGACTTATGGGAAATGTCCAAAATACCCTGGTCGGTTCGCATTCTATCCACCTCCTAGTCAGCATCCAGATTCCTTCTTATCCTTGACAGCTACATTGTGATATATTGAAGTATATGTGAGTCGGCGGAGGTTTTGGAGCCTCGAGGCGGCCTAAGTCGACTTAGGGTAAGATCGAGTCGACTTAGGCTATTCTCAAACGTCGGTGTATCGACTGGGAGAGTCATCTCGTCGGTCAACTGGGAGAGTCATCTAGAGGTCGACTTCCGTCAGTCGACTAGGAGAATCTTCTAGACCCTGTTGGGGCCAGGCGGTTAGGGAATTCATAGGAAGAATTGACTTTGCGGATGTCGGTTCGCTAATGTCGATTAGGACGAGTCGACTAATATATCCGTCATCCGGCTGAGTGTTTAGGTTTGAACCGCTATGCCACAGTATGGCTATATCAGACAATAGCAATAACAATGATAAAAAATAATTGTAATATTTTTTTTATCAATTAAATGTATGGTCTATCTAGATTACTAAATTATATTGTTCATTAAAATTTATGCACCTGTATATTCATACGTAAGTTAAATAATTTATATTTACATTAGACATTTGCATATAAGTCAAAATATAAAATGTAATGCATCAATTACCTAATATAAATTTTTATATATTGTATGTATTTATATAATATTTAAATTTTTATTGTTTTGTATATGTGTACAGGATGAATACTAATGTATATTTTTGCCCCCTCCACTTTGTCTTAAAGTATTATTTTAAATAATAAGTTAATAACACTTGAAAACTAAAGTTTCTTAATAAGCCAAATTGGAGAAGGGCGTTACTGTTGGTATTAGTTTATTTATTAGTTGTCAATATATGATTAATTCAAGTGTGCGTTTTTATCTGGTCATCACAACTTTTTCGTCGGAGACATCGAAGTCCTCAGCCACTCGATAGCCTTAAAGAAAACAAAAACTAAAAAACAAAAAACTCTTACTGGTCACTCTCTTTTTTTTTTTGGTAGCCAGCCACGGTACCGGAGTTATATCCCGTCTAATTCGTTGGTCGATTCAGATCGCACACCTAACATTGGTAGGCGAGTCTCCCAACAAGCTGGTCACCCTTTTTCCCATGTCATATACTACACTCATCATTGATATTATTCTCTTCGAAATTTGAAAGGTAATATCAAAATAACCAAACCAGTCATAATTAATAAATGACAGTCACATTACGCTACCATTTCTTGTAGTATTCATTGTTATTATATAAAGCGTCACCAAATCTCCTTGGCTTATATTTCTTACTCTCCTCAAAAACTCTCTTGACTCCACACAACCCAGTGGGGAATGGATAGAAGAATCCTCATCTGCTCTGTTATGGTGCTGGAGTATTTGGGCCTTGCATGGGCCCAGGATCGGCTGATAAGCCCATCCAAGCTCGAGAAGTTCGTCGATGAAATTACGGAAATACCGACAATCGAAGGTTTCGATGTCGTCAATGGCTTTCCTGTTGCTAAGTCACTCCGTATCGGCATGTTTAGCAAAAAATGGGTATGTGTATGTACGTATTATTATTATTATTATTATTATTATTATTATTATTGTTATATTATTATTATTATTATTATTATTTCCATGGTTCTCGTTGTTGATTGTATTATATGTGATAATCTGGATTTCTTTATTATAGTGTAATTCATTTTTATTTTATTTATTTATTTTTTGGGTTTTGCTCCGCTAATTTTACTTAGGTACTGAGGAGCGCAAATACTTAGGTGCGCTCGGCACACCTAGCAAGGTGTGCCAAGATATTTTTAAAACAAACATGCTACATTATAAAATGAACATGAGTAAACATGTTTATTTTATTATGTAACATGTTCATTTTAAATTGTCTTTGCACACCTTACTAGGTGTGCCAAAATGCACTGCCAAAATGCACGGTTATAACACTGATTGAGGAGGGTATGTTTGCATACAAAAAAATACAAAAAAATAAACAAGAAAAAAATTTAAATATTTTTTTTTTCGATATAAAAAAATTTGAATATTTTAACTCAACCACTTATTTTAATTACAAATATTGAGATTTAAAAGCAAGAATAAATCAATCTTATGTGAGAGACATTTCATT